GGGCAGGGGAACGCTCCCCTTTTGTCCCGGGAGGAGCACGGGGAGCCCCCGCCGGTCCCGGGGCTCGGTGCGGGTTCGGGGGACCGGGACACCGGGACCGACCGTGCCCCGGTGTCCGTGCTGGGGAACGCGGCAGCGCCTCGGGAGCTCGCAGGGAGCAGCCTCCCCATGGTTACTGATTAATTCTATGCTCTAATATTTGCTGTTTTCTCTGGCACTCAGCAAACCCTGGGGCCTTTTCCTTCATTTGTTCCCAAATTTCTCCAGGTTCTGGAGGCTCTGCTGCTGCAAACGCGGCCTGGGCCGGTTCCCCCCGGCCGCTGCGGGGTCCCGAGCTGCCGCAACACAGCCTGGAGGGGTTTGAGCCCTGTAGGAGTAACAGTGATTATGCTCTGGGTGCCTCTATCAGGGTTTTGTGTCCCCAGCTCCCCCTTGGGGTTCATTTTTGGTGCTGTGGCCGCATTTCCAGGGGTTCCACAGGTCCAGGGTGGGGAATTGCAGCGGGCTCTGCTGCCCCTGGGCCGGGCCTGGGCGTGAGGTTTGTTCCTCTCCTTGTGGAATTTCCCCCCGATATCGCTGCGTCCCGGAGGGATGGATGTGAGCAGTGAAGCCACAAAAACAAACTGGGGGAGGGAATGGAGGGGTTGTTGTCCCTCGGATGTACCGCAGGACTCCAGGGGTAAAACCGGGAGAGAAGGGGAAGTGACACTGCTGACTCACCGGAGCCGGGGAGCGCAGAAAAGGCCCGGTTTGGCGCAGGAAAGGCCCGGTTTGGCGCAGGAAAGGCCCGGTTTGGCGCAGGAAAGGCCCGGTTTGGCGCAGAAAAGGCCCGGTTTGGCGCAGAAAAGGCCCGGTTTGGCGCAGAAAAGGCCCGGTTTGGCCTTGTTTTGGCCGTGTGTTCCCTCAGCAGCAAATGCTGCCGGCTCCGGCAGCACCCGCAGGGATCTTGGTGAGGTGTGGCAGCGGGAATGAGCAATTAGCGGCACTAATGAGCCCTCGGGGCTGCCAGGGGAGGGAGGAGAAGCTGGGACTGGTTTGTGGCCGGGATGGTGACACCGTGAGCTGCCCGGTGACACCGTGAGCTGCCCGGTGACACCGTGATCTGCCCGGTGACACCCTGAGCTGCCCGGTGACACCCTGAGCTGCCCGGTGACACCTTGAGCTGCCCGGTGACACCTTGAGCTGCCCGGTGACACCGGGAGCTGCTGCAGGGGACACACGGGGCTGTGTCTGCCTTGCAGGGAGCAGAGCACCCCCTGTGCCGGGGTTTTCCTGTTAAACACACCCTGACAGCAGCGGGGAGCGGCTGGCAGCGCGGCCCTGGGCGTGTGAAGGAGCCTGTGTGACAGCCCAGGCTGGCTGTCCTGCCCAGGCTGTCCTGCTCCAGCTCCCCTGGCTTTCGGGAGCTCTGGGCTGTTGGAGGAAGGTGGAAGCTCCATGCTCCTGGTGCTGGTACACGAGCTGCACTTCCAGGAATCCCTGTCCTCCTCCATGAGCTTCCCAGGGGTTTAACACCCCTCTCCCAGCCTGCTGACTGTTGGGTTGGATCCTCCTCCCGAAACAACTCGAGTTCAGAATCGTTAGTGAAATGTTTTTCAGTGTTTTGAGAATTCCTCAACAGAACTTCAGTGGAATACAACACCCAGACATATTATTTTATGTATTTATTTTATATTTATAGTGTTGGGACCAAAGGGAGTTGTTTGTTCCAGGACAGATGGTGGCAGGAGCTGTTTGCCCACACGTGTGTACTTTAGTTAACACTTTTGGGGAGGGCACAAGGACAAGTCCTTTTCCCTCTGGCTGGAACAGGAGAAGAGCAGGACATCCCTGATCCAGAGGGGTGTGCAGCCTCCTGTGGAGAAGCAAACACTGTTTTCCAGCACTTGCTGGGTTAAGGCTCTGGGCTGTTTGGAGGGATCACTTTTCTGCCTGTGGTTCTTGAGCTTTTTCCATGAAATTCCTTTATAAGGAACAGGGTGTTCAGTGGTGTTCCTAGAAATCCGTGCCTGGAGGCTCAGCGTGGTAGGCTGGAGCTGGGTGGTTCCTGTTAACCCTCAGAGCATCAACCATCTGTGTAAGCCTCGAGCAAGATGTGTGTAAGTGCTGCTCTGCCAAGGGAGGTGTCTGTGCAGGAATTCCTGCTGGGCAGCGCTCAGGGGGACACTGCCATGTCCTGTGCCCTGATCTGTGCCCACCTCCTGCTTCCAGCTCCAGTTCTGGTCACGAGTGGAAATGAAATTTATTTTCTGTTTGCTTGGTGAGCTGGTGTCACCTTGAGTGAGGTGGACGGAGCTGGATCTGCTGCTTCCAGCCCCTGTCTGGGGTTTGGAGCCCTGTGCTGCCTCTGGCAGCGTTTGGGTACCTGATGTCTCACCTTCAGTGGCAGGTATGGTGTCAGTGCACCTGGAAATCTGGCAGGATAACCCAGACCGAGCAGTGAAGTGCTGCATCACAGTTACCACTTAAATATCCCAGCCCTGAGTGTTTTGGGTTGCAAGGGACCTTCAGGATGATGGGGTTGCCTGGGCAGGGAGGGCTGACCGTGTTGCTGTCCCCCCTCAGGTACCAGGATTATTTATGACCGTAAGTTCTTGATGGAATGCCGCAATTCTCCGGTTGCCAAAACACCCCCCTCCGACCTTCCGGACATTCCAGGCGTTACCAGCCCCAGCGTGGAGGAGCTGAAGCTTGAGAACCACCATGTCCAAAGCTGTGAGGAGAAAGTGAGCGCAGGTAAGTGCAGGCAACAAAAAAACCCCGACAGCCTGTGAGGTGCACTGCTGATTCCTAGAAACTGCAGAGCTGGAGTGGAGCCAGGAGATTCCCAGGAACTGTGGTCAATTCTCCAGTAACTTCTTGGAAAGTCAGAGTGGGCTCAGTGTCACAGGGTAACAAGGTTCTGGCAGTTGTTTGATCCTGCTCTGGGCCCCAGCAATGTGACTTTTGCAGTTATTGGGTGTAATGGGATATAATTCCCATTGATTCAGCAATTGGAAAGCTGCTGTTGGATTAGGAGCCCTGTGGAGAGCAGAGGGGCAGCTGCTGCTGCCTCTCCCTGAGCTGGGCCGTGCTGCAGCTGCTTGGAGTTTCAAGTTACAATTCAGAGCAGGATTTACTTGGGTTTTTAATATCAGCCTGAGTTGTAAATTCTGCCTGCCTGTTTCTGACCCCGTTTTGTGACAGGGACACTTCACTGAGGCCCTGCTGCAGTAACCTGAGCCAAAGCTGCCCCTGAAGAATTATTTTTAAAGTTATTTGAGGTTATTTCTTGAAGTGACCTGAATCTACTAAGTGCAAGTATTTATCTTCTCTCTAAAAATAAAGATCTGAATGCTCTTGTGTGCTCGCTCCAAGTAGAATCTCTCCAGAGTCAGGGTTGCCTCATGCCTGACACGCTTTGTGTGGCTCACTGGACTCCCTGGCACCCTGAGATGCAGTCTGGCTGCTGGGCTGTGGCTGTCCCAGAGAATCCCTGTCCTCAGGAACAGCTCCTGGCTGCCCTGTGGTTCCTGCCAGGCTGTGGGAGCAGCCCTTGGGGTGATGAGTGTGAAATGTGCCTCAGTGTGCTTCTTTACATTCCTTGTTGCAAGGAAATGCAGGGCTAAGAATAAATCATTTAAAGGGCATTTTCTCTTCCTCCACTCTCGTGTGTCTGAGGGAGATCCCCCAGTGCTGACACCTCGACCAGAGCTTCATGAGATGATTTTCACACCAACCCTGATGCCTGAATGCAGACTTTAAACCCAAACGACCCCATTTCTGAAGCACAGCCGCCAGATTCACTAAAATCCTTGGTATTTGATGTGGAACTCAGGACTGAGCTGTGCTTTTGTCCCTCCCAGCAGGTGAGGAAGAGCAGTTCGACATGGACATCTAACGCACCTGCCCGGAGAGTGCTGATCCAGTGAAGCACCAGGACTTGCCTTGAGGATTCCCACCAGCCAGGCTTACAGCAGCCCATGCCTTGAGTGCCTTCCTGCTCCTGGGAAGGGCAGATTCCCACAGGAGAGCAGAGCAGGTCCTGTTCCAGGGGCCGGGGCTCGGGGTGCTGGAGGAGACACTCTCCCCCTCGGTTTCGGTTCCAGTTTTATGCTTTTGTTAATCATTTTAATACTGTAACAGTTACAGAAATGCAATATAAGGGAGAAATAAAAATCATGTGGAGTCTCCTGGTGTGGAGATGAATGCAATAAATGTGGCTTCTGTCCCTTATTCCAGCCAACCTGAGGCATTAAAATGGTGCCACCTGTGCTGCTGGGCCAAACTTCCCTGGTCCCCTGGGGAAGTTTTGGTCTGCCAAATCAGCCTCCAGAAGAGTGACAAAAACCGTCCCCTGAGACCTTCCAGAAGATTCTGTCACAGGTTGTGTTCTCTTGCCTGCCTCAAGGGCCAGGCTCAGGCTGCAGGTGGGAATATTTAGGATTAGTTCACCTGGAGGGTTCCTGACTGTGAACTGCCTTCTGCCCTGCCAGGGAGAGGAAGGACTCTCCAGCTTCTCCACTGCAATTCTTTTTTTCTGGCATGTGCTTGCCTGAGTTTGTGATCCATGGTGAAATTTCCCTGCTGCTTTACCCCTGCTTCTCTTTTTCATCATGTGGTGGGCAGGGAGAAGAGCTTTGAGGGAGAGGGCTTCACAGGGAAGGTCAGAAACAAAATACCTGGGTTTGAGACAGGGGTTTTCATCAGAGAAGGTTAATTTCGCTGCAGGAAGGTTCAGTTTGGGTCCCCAGAACAAATATCTTCAATTTTAGCCTCAGTGAGGTTTGATAAGTGTATGTAAGGCACATTGCTGTGTTACTGCTGGGGGGTGGAGGCATCTCAGAGGAGGAAAATCCTTATGGGGCACTGGAAGCCTGAACTTCAGACTTCCCAAACCACAAGGAGTGTCTGTGCAAATCAGGTTTGGGAGATAGCATTTAAATATCTGTTAATGAAGCTCATTGGTGACATTATGATATGCAAACCCTCAATAAAGAACAACAGAACAAAGCAATTGCTGCAGATAAACCTGCATTTCTCTAAGATAAGATTTAAGGGTTTCTCTGAAGCCTTAATGGGAACAAATCCAAATTTATTGCCTTCAGGTGTGACTTTATCAGCCTCAGCTGCACCATTCTGAAGATGGTTTAGAGAGGAGGTGCTGCAGCTGGGACTGACTTTTTCCTCTGCTAAATTTGTGGTTTTGTTTTAAAATGGCACTGCTGGACTGTGGTGCAGCTGCAGTTTTTGGTTCAGCAAAATTTCCCGTGTTGATGGTAATTTCCCCAAAGTTCCCCTGTTCAGGGAAGACTGAAATCAGGCTGGGTCGGGTTTGCAGGGACTGGATCCCTGCACTTGTGCTGGGGCTTGTTCTGCTGTGCCCTAACCAGAATGTTAGTAATTCCATGGATAATTCCCTGCTGTGGGTTTACAGTGGAAGGGTTGGATTGATGGAACCCTTGATGAGCAGCTTTCCTGGACAGGAATCCTCAGCAGGATCTGGTGTCACCCTCCCCTGAGCTGTGTGTCTGGGCAGTGTCCCTGTGTCACCCAGGACTGTGGTTTCAGTGGGACACAGGGTGCTGGTGGCCCTGGGATGCCCCAAAGGTGCCGTCCCAAGCTGAGGGCTGCACATCGGCAGTCTGGGGAGAAATGAGCTGATTTCAGCTCAACCATCCGTGCCTGTTGCAGGAGCCGTGCGGGGTTGGGCTTTGGTGTCAGTACAAAAGCGGCTGCGTGGATTTTGGGGTGGCAGGTATTGCAGGTAATGCTCCTAAATGCCATTCCCTCCCACCTGCAGGAGAGGTAACACGTGCTGGAGGTGTTAAGCACTTTGTGTCCCCGCAGCTTGGGCAGCTTTGCATTGGTATCTGCTGCTTATGCAGATCTGCGGCAGCATCAAAGCACCAGGTGCATCTGACACTGATAATTCAGAGCGAGGGAGGAAACGCGTGAAACACCTGGCCAGGTGTGAGCAGGGGTCCTGCTGGGTTCTCGGTGCAGGGCCCTGGGGCCATGGGGAGCGTTGTGGGGGGCAGAGAACAGTGACCAAAGCAGTGGATGTGATGAGGTGATGGGGACATCTGCTCTGCTGCAATTTGTCCTAAACCCATTCCTTAAACCTTTTCACCCGTGCTGTGGGACCAAGTGGTCTCAGCATCCCGTTGCTCTGGTCCTTCCCTCCCTTCCCTCCCTCCCAGCCCCAGCTGCTGCATCCTTCAGCCAGACAGTTTTAGATCCGTCTCTCGGTGCATTCACGTTTGCAGCTCCCCAAACTTCCCTGAGCCTTGCAAGGAGCAGCTCAGCGTTCCAGGTCACATCCCTGCTTCCCCAGCACTCCCAGGCCGAGGAGCTGCTTTTTGCACAGGCTGAGCCCAGTTGTGCACAGTGGGAGGGAGGGAGGCAGTCGTGGGTGGCTGAGGCACAGCTGGGATGCTCCAGGGAGGTCTTAGGACAAGTTGGCTTTGTCGTTGCATTTCCCATGCCAGCCCCTTTTTGTCTCAAGCAGGCAGAGCAGCACACACACGGTGTCCCTGTGTCTTGCCTCACATCTGTGTGTCCTGCTCTGTGTCCCAGTCACGGGACAAACACCACCTGCCCGGCCCAGCTCGTGCTCTAATTTGTACAAATATCACCCTCGGCCTGTGATAAGCCCCCTCAGTCTGTTTGTTCTTGCTTTTTCCTTTTTATTTGTCCAAAGTAATCATTGCCTGCAGTCCCCCCTGGCCAAGCCAGCCCTTTCCAGAGCAGAAACCTGCCTGCTCCCCCCGACTCTGGGATGCTGGAGGGGCTCAGGCAGGACCCCGTGACAGGACTGGGGCTGTCCCCCACTTTGTCCTGCGTGTCTGGGCTCCCTGTGTCCCCCAGCCGATGCAGACTGGGGCAGGAGCGGGGCCAGAGCTCTCCCTGCTCAGTTCAGGTCCTCCCTCACAGCCCGAGCCTGGCAGAGCTCGGCTCGCCAGCAAATCCTTGCCTAAACCCGACTTTATTGTCATTGTCCACACTTTGATGTTTTCCTTACAGCCCTGGAATCCCAGCCTTTATTTTCCCAC